TTTGCTTGAAAAATGTATAATTACCTCATTTAAATTAGGTAACTTAAGTAAAATATTTTACCCACATTATCTGTATAATTACTTCAATTCTGAAAAAACAATTAAAGACTTCACATATTGGCATAGACATGGTGTTGTCTCTTGCAACAAATTTGAAATTCTATCTCAGGGCCTAAATGTCATAAATATTAAGGCCAAACAATTTAAAAATTCTTTCTTTCTGTTTTCATTCCGACAAGTAGGCCAAATTTGAGTTACCACAATGATTTCTTCTACTCTAAACTGTCCCTCAATTAATCAAATCTGTCCTGTTGTTTTGCATTGAAACTTTATTTTGCCTGCTTTTTTCTCAGGTTCCCTTGACTTTGGCCTTCATCAGTTAAGGCAGTTAACATACATGACTTATGCCAATTAAAAAGGTATAAAATTAGTTCAATGATGGAGTGAAACAACCATTACAAGGGATCAAAATTCTTGTCTCATTTTTCAGTCAAAGCTTAACTGAAAGCTGGAAGCAGGGCTCCTATGACAAGGGAACAACTAGACAGGCGCTTAGAGTTCTCACTGGCATGTTGTGTATTTCAATACATTATGTTGCTGCCAGTAATTATGACAGATCTACACCTAACCTGCCCTTCAGTATTTTATGAAATCTCCTCAACAGTGACTCAGAGTTCATACCAAAGTGTACATGTGTGTTAACAAGTTTTAAGAAATCAAAGACGGAAGAAAAAAATTCAGACATTATGTCTAACTAAAGTAAAGGGGAAATGCTAAAACAATGATAATTTTTAAAAACTATTTCTAGAAAGAAAGAACATAGTAGAGTTTTACTGATGGGACTTTATGATGGTCAGTAAAGGGAAAAAAATGTTTACAAGCTTCCAAAAAGGGTGTGTGTAGTTTTATTTATTACAGTAAAGTATAAAAGAAAACTACTCCATGATTTCTCTGCTTTCTTAGTCTTCAAATAGGCCACAGTTTGAGATTCTCTGATATCTTTGTTTTCAAAATGATGCCATCTGGCTGTCTCCATTTTTGTATCATATTTCCTACTCAAAGCCGAAAGAAAAATAAATCTATTACCAGATTCTTGAAAAGAGAAGTTCTGGATGAAAATTAATAAACCATTAAAATTGAAATTAAACACAGGAATGCCATTATTCACCAAACTTAAACAAAACAATCTCTCTTCCACGGCTTAGTTACTTTTGGGACATTCTCTACAGCCCTGGTGTTAAGAGCCAAGTGCAAAACAATTGAGACACAAGCAAAAGCCACTTCTAACTCCAGAAAGGATGAGACAGAGAGAACACACACACTACATGAAGTGCCAGCGTAGCACAGAATTGTGATTTGTCATAAATTACTTAGTGAAAGTGATTTTCAAGTTATGTATCTGAGACAGGTATCAAAATGAGAAGTGTAAAGTCTGCATGTACATTAAAAAAAGACTTTTAATATGTTGTCATTTAAAAAATAGTTTTTCTCCTTTCTTTTTTCAAAAAAAAATATTTTATTTATGTATTTGGTACAGGGTCTCACTACATAGCTCGGACTCATAGTGGTCCTCCTGGCTCAGCCTCCCCAGTGCTGGGATTACAAGCATGCGCCACCACACCTGGTTTTGGTGGCAGGCACCATGTGGTACCAGGGATCGAACCTGGGTCCTTGTGCTTGACAGGTAGGTGCTTAGACTGCCAAGCTATCTTCGCAGCCCTCTCCTTTTTAATTGCAAGATAAAGTGAGTTAAACTGTAATCCCTGACTAGGACCTGTTGCTTTCCAGTGGAGAGATGGAAAATGACAGCACATGTGACGTACGATCAAAATATACAGTGAAGTCTTAATTTATATATATATCTATAGATATATATATATATATATATATATATATATATATATAATTTGTGATTAATTCACCTCAAAAGGCTCCTATTCACTTTGGGGTTTTCTTGTATTTTTTAGGGAAGGGTCTACAGGGTGTTCACGGTCTCACTACTAGATCAGACTCATAGTGATCCGCCTGTTTACAGCCTCCCAAGAGCTGGGATTACAGGTGCACACCACTGCACCCAGTCTCAATTGCCACCTCAGTGTGCTCCGGGGGCAGGGCCAGCATGGCAGGCCTGGGGATTGAACCCCTAGTACCTGCACCTGCTTGCAGGTGCTTTAATCCACTGAGCTATTTGGCCAGCCCTCCTATTCACTTTGAACACCCTTAGCCCATCATTCTTGCCACTTTCTAAAGCAGTTCTAAAGTCCCCTTTCATAAATGCCTTTTAAGGTATGATCAGAAATGTGAATCCTGCTGCCATTTGCCACACAGCAGGAAGGCAGCTCATGAAGGCAGCCTTGTGTTCCCAGCCTCCTTATTCATTGGATCTGGTACTATGTGACTTCTGCCTTTTCCCCCAAGCCAAACTGACTATGAAAAGTAAATGTTTTGAACCAATTCAGGACATTGAAGCAGTCAGAACAGAGCCACTAAAGATACTCATGAAAGAGGACTTCCAGAGTTACTTGAGAGAATGGCAAAAAAAAGATAGAATAAGTATATGCACAGTAAGAAAGAAATATTTTGAGGGAGGTTAGTTCCAATGTGTCTTTTACTGTAACTTCTAAAAAATTTAAACATTTGCCATAATTTTTTTTATTATACCTCATCTACATTGCTTGTACAGGAATGCTTTCCTGCCCCTGAACTCAGAGAAAATATCCTATAAGATGGTCTGCCCACAAAAAGCCATTTGTATTGGAATTGATTCTCTGGTTACTATGTTTACGAATGGAGTTTGCTAGCAACACCAAGGAGAAAGAGATGGCATGCCTGATAGATCATCCGAGAGGCAGCGCGTCACTGTTCCTTAATTAATGTGCTTGCCCTGCCACTCCTTCAACTTCAAATGAGAACATTTCTCAGGGAAACAGAAAGTTTGTACCGCCTCCATTGTATTAAGACTGTGCCACCTTGGCTTAAGGGTTAAAATAGGTGAGTCCAGGTGTGGCTGTAAAATTGACGGCCTCTCCTGTGACATCATCCAGAGCCCAGGAAAAGCTAAGCTTCAATACGTCACATCAACAGTCTTGAAAATTAAAATGTAATATCAGATAAAAAATAGGGAGTGGCAAAACTTTTAGTATCGCATGTATTTAATTTATTATTGTTATTATTATTGCTAATGTATTTGGCTGTTACAGGGTCCCACTGTGCAGCTTGGACACATGGTGATCCTCCTGTTTTCAGACCCCCTCCATCATTGGGATTACAGGCCTGTGCCACTACTCCTGGACTCTGGCCAGCTCAACCCACCCTGGGAGCGGGGCTGGTGCATGTGGTACCAGGGATCAAACTGTGGTCCCAGAATGTGCCTAAGCTTGCCTAAGCAAGCACTTCAGTCCACTGAGCTATCTTGCCAGCCCCCAATGCAACTATTCTCACACTTAAATGTAGTATACATTTGGTTGGCTTCCTAGCCACTGACTAAAAGGGCTGCCAACATTGATCTCTCAGGGCTGCAGGAAGGTCATAGAAATTGATAACCCTGACAAGCAATGCTTGTGTGAGTCTGCCTGCGTCTTGCAGATAGTGCACTTTGTAAATTAATCCTCCAAAGGCAAATATATTGTAAGTAGCTTGTTATCTCTAAAATACTAAATTGAAGAATACATGGGATTATATTGACAGAAATCACATTTTCTGTAATGGGGTTTAATATATCTGAAATCTCTCCCAAAGGCTCACAGGCTTTCTAACAGAGAAGGGTCTGTTAATGTAGGTGCAATGGACATCAAGAATGAATTTATTCACCAAAATGGATTAGACTATGTAATCAGAGATTCTGAAATATTAATCTTTGACACTTATTGAATAGAAAGAAATACTTCTGTCTGCAAATGGGCATTCCCAGTTCTCCGCTCTCCCCAACCATGCTTTGGGCCTTTCCCGGACTTTACTTCAAAGAAGATAAGGTTTCTCTATCATAAGCACTAATCTAAAAATATTAGGACAATTAATTAGATACACTTAGTTTTAGAGGATATTGGATTTCGATCGCCTTCAAATATGGCACCAGCGCTGGATGACTGCATAAAACCTGACTTTCAGAACCTTCACAAAAGGCAGTGAATCATACTTTCTGAACGCCTTGTTGTCATGCCAGTATACACTGTTAAAATACCACTGGGTAGTACTTGGTATAAAATCTCAGTTTTGTGCTCGCTTTGGCAGCACATATACTAAAATTGGAACGATACAGAGAAGATTAGCATGGCCCCTGAGCAAAGATGACATGCAAATTCATGAAGTGTTCTATATATTAAAAAAAAAAAAAACTCAGCTTTGCCCCAAATCAGGCATTTATACTTCACCTAGAAGCAGTCTGGCACAGCCTTGAGTGCTTTTTTATTTTTTTCTTTGAACCAGGAATTGAACTCAGGACCGCACACTGACCTATACCTGCTGGCCCCTTATGGTATAGCTATGAGATCCATTCAGGTTTGGATAGCTTCAAAGTAAAATGATAAATAATTTCTTCCTTTTAGTATTTGGGGGATGAAAGATGATCAGGAGAGATAAGACCATCCCTGAATGCACAACCCTCCTAAAAATCAAACTGATGAGTTTAAAACTGAGTGATATGGAACCACAGATTTTGTTTTATAGTAAATAGGATGATACCATCCTACAGATTAACTTGAAGGGAAAAATAACCAAAAGAGTGATACATCTTCAGAGCAGGGAGAATGTAAATTAAACACACATTCACTCTAGACACAAAGCCTATCCATGTATAAAAGAGGTGGAAGACAACACAATGCTTTATTGCCCACACTAGAAAATGCTCTTACCTATCAGTCAACAGTGTGTTTTCACCTTTGGATCAACAAGCCAAGAAGAAAGTAGCAACACCGGGGTGTGGCTTCATAATGCCAAACATAAGCTGTAGGTTGCCAGCGGGAAAAACAGACTGTGTGTAAACATGAAGCCCAATTACTTACCAATTGTTCACTTGAAGGATGGTGAGACCTGTGTCTTGTGCCAACTGCTTTTTCTGTTCTTCAGAAGGGTAAGGATGCTGAGAGAGATAAAAAAATATATATATGTGTGTGTATGTCAGGCAATCTTTAGGCCACTTTGTCAATATCCTGCATGTCTAGTGAAGTCTATAATTAAAGGTAAAAATGCTGAGGTGTGTCGCTTTTATTAATGGAATACTACATCATCTAATTAATGGCAATAAAAGACAAGGCAATTACAAAGATTAGTGAAGTGTATAAATAGCTACTTAGGATACTTGCAGAACCTTGATACCGAGTTTATCCTTTAACAAGTTTATTTGTTGCAAATACAGAAAGTTCAGTAAGATCTTCACCATGATTTATAGGATTTGAATAAAGCCAAGCCATTTTTCATCATCTAAAAGTAGATCATCCTGATCCAGTATGTTTATTGAACCATGAACTTCTAAAGAAACATTTTAACCAACAGTTGATACACCAGTATTTAGGTGAGAGAGTCTCCCTCCAAAATATCATGTTGTTGAGTACAAATAAGAGAATAAAAATCAGTATGTGTTGTTTAAACCACTATTCATATTAGCTCCTCAGCAAAGCATAAACATGGTTCAACTCAAGTTGGTTTCTGTGTATGAATGTCAACACACATTGGGATTCCTAACACAGGCCAACAGAAGGTCAAAGATCAGCATATTTTGCATGCTGAGAATAAACCCAACTATGCTCCTGATGAAGTAGAGCAGATTTTTAAAAAAAAAAATAGGCTTAGATGATAAAATGTAATGCACACTCTCTTATAAGAATGTATGGAAGCTGGGCATGGTGGTGCACGCACCTGTATTCCTAAAACTTGGGAGGCTGAGGCAGGAGGGTAGGAGGATCTCACCATGAATTCAAGGCCAGCCTGAACTACATAGCAAGACCCTGTCTCAGAGGAAAAGAAAAAGAAAAAAAAAGAATGTTTGGAAATCTACTAAACTAAGTTTTAGCAGGAATACATTTTGAACTATATTTAAATTTAAAATACACACTTCTAAAGCCTAAAAGAGCAACTGAGGGTATGGTTGCCCTCTAAGGAGACACTGGCTGGCTTGAAACATCATTTCTCCATAAATTCTCCCAAGACAAAATTGTTCCAAGAGTCAACCATCTGTTCTATTATGAATGGGTAAGGGCAACCCCAACCCTCAATTTAACTATTATGCCATAGAAACTAAATTCTGGTCTATTGAATGCTAATTAACATACCTTTTAATTTTATTAATAATGTCTGATTAGACATGCTAAAATGGCTTGTTAATGATCACTTCAGTGCTCTTACATGTAAGTTTAAATATCTTCTGTATCTATACACATGGGATACATCTGTAGAGAGCAGAGATATAGCAATTTTTCTCATAAGCATTGTCTTGATTGTCACTTAATCAATAAATACACAATTAGAATAAGGCTTTGCTTTCATGGAATATAGTGCCTTTCTCTAAAGAGCTCCCCATATATTACAGTCAGGATGGCAATTAATCCTCATTATATCCCTTTGAGTGACATAAGTGGAATCTATCACCCCTCTTATTTTACAGGTGAGGAGACTGGCCAGGGGAAGAGTTGGTGAGTAGCAGGCATGGATCAGTGGTACATCCTCCTTCCCCTGCAGAGTCTAAGCCTTACTATTACTGAGGAATGTGACAAATGCCTTGAGTAATCCCTGATAATGTGTCCTATCAAAACCCTCCAGACTGCATACCACACCCTTGAGACAAGCCACTGTCCAACTTTGACCACCCCTCAGATTTTACAGTCTTCCTCTTTGCCCTGCCCCTGCCCTGTGCCCAACCTAGCTATCCTTTCTTTAGCTGCATCACAGGAAGCTTTCTGTCACTGATGCTCCTGTTCCCATGTTACTTTCAGAGATCAGATCAAAAATCAAGCTTTGCCTTCTCCACTATGCACTACCCCTCCTTCTCATCCATCTCACATCAATTCTTTTCTTATTATTAGCAGGCATCAGCCTTTGAACCACTTGTTTTAATGGTGTGTTTCCTTCCTGGGCTGTTTCTTCGTATTCATCTATCCCAGCTCTCCAATTACCTTACCTTCTCTATTCTCCATCCTTAAAACTCAGACAAGCACAAATGAAGACATCAGTATTTGAAGAACTAAGAGAGTAGCCATAACTTATCAAGATACACAGATACCCTCCACTCAAATGCAACAGAAAAATGAATGACAAACTTTGTTTTAAAGCCCACAGAAAGTATAAACAACCTGATTTAAGATCCGACCATTACACCACTTTCTCTTTCATTTTTCAAAGTGATGTCAACCCACTCTTTTCAAATAAAAGTATGCAAATTTCACATTAGACCTAAGACAATGGTGACAATGACCCTTCTTAAAATAACACTGACAACTGTAGCCAAAAATTCCATGATTGGGTCTTGAACTAAACTCCTCTCATTTCCTTCAGGTTTTATGCCATAATTACTACTGTATAAATGTTTGCCACAAAACTCAAACCAAATCAATCTTTTATCCTATAAACATATCATTGAGTGATAATTTGATATATAATAGTGCTATATCTGTACTAGTTGAAGAATTGTACATAATATAAATGACCCTATTAGTTGTACAAATTATGCTGCCACTTAACAACTATACAACTTTCAACACAGGACAATTTTCTAGTCCTCAGTTTTGTCACTGAGAGCATTAAGACATACTGAAGTTAAAGGTTACACATGCTAGTAGCTCCTACACTATTACCCAATGCAAATTATTTCATATTTTGAAATATGCAGCTTTAACCATCAGCTACAGATATTACTTACCATCTAAAGCTGCCAACATGTATACAAACAACTTCCAATCTACATTTTCTGTCATACTATTTGCTCACAGTTTTCCAGGTACTATGGAAATCTCTTTCAGTGATTTTCCATAGAACAAATAAATATGTCAATATGTTCTTCAGCAGAGTTGAATAATAACACCTAGGCCCTGTCTTGTTAGTGTTGTTTTAATGTTATGACCAGAACTGGATAAAAATTAATATTTATGCCATTTATCTTTAGTTACTCTGGAAATTGAGAATTGTCACAGTAATTTATCTGTCCTGGGTTTTCAAGAGTATTTTTGCATGCCTGTTTGTGCGGAAGTTTTATATCCATTCTTATAAAGCAAGGGGAGCTCACATTTCATTTATGCAAGTGCTGTCAGGAAAATTCTCTGGGTCATTAAAATTACCTGAATTGTATATCTTTAAAGAACAGTAATGTGGCCCTCAAATGTTCAGTGCAAATTTCAGTTGTCTCTTCACATCATAGAATTGCTGATTTCATAATTTAAGTATCGTAAAATAAGAAAGGTCTATCTTTTTCTTGCTCTGTCACTTTTCATGTGATCTGATTTTAAGTAATTGGAACAAACTGTGTCTAATTTCATGCAGCATAATTGCTAGGCAGCCTCAAGCTAAGGAAACCCAGCACTCTGTCTCCACTAAGCCATTTCAGTTGTTCAGGATATGTTTTCTTATATATCTACAAGGAAAGGAATGAGCCTGAATAATATTAAATATCCTAATAATTTGGCCATTGTTAACATGGAAACAACAGTATCAGCAAAGTTTCTACCCTTGACTATGGTGGGCCAGCTGATTTTTTTTTTTTTTTTTTTTCATGGTTCTGGGTCTTGGTGTCCCACAAACTTTTCAACTCTCTGGGGAAAAAAAAAAAAAGAGTCTATAATGGCTAGAATCACATGAAAGTCATGACTTCATGTAGCTAATCCACAAATATTCACAAAAAGGAGGCTTTTCAGCCGAAACCCAATACGTTTAAATATCTTAAATCCTATGCATCTTTACTAGGTAAGTTTTTTTGTGGATGGCATGAGTTATTCCTTTGTAGACCCAACAACAGAAAAATTGACTTGACAAAAAGCCAACAGCGCCACAGGCAAGGCTGCAGTAAAAACACCCAGAGCCCCATTCCACCCACAGGCTTGATGAGGCCGTGTGCAAAAGCAGATGTCATCTTGCAAGAGATAAAGGGTGATCCCTGAAAAGTGCCACTTCAGGGCTAATGTGCGAAACTCTTTCCAAGCCACTGCAACTAAGGCCACTCCTGGTTGCTTCCCTGAATGCCTTTGCTTTATGGCATCTACATGACAAGAACTTTAGTGGAAGAAAGATCAGGGGGTTCTCGAGAAGGGAAGATGTACACCTCTTGCCTGCTGTACCAATCATCCTAATCACTTTGGTGTATCGGAGTAAATCTGACCACAGTCCGATAGACAGCAAGGGAGCCCTCGCCTTTGTTGTGTACATTAGCCTCCTGCCATTATCTCTTAAAAGCTTAATTATTTGCAAACAATTGATCAAGATGGGAATTTGAGAAAGGATATGTAAGGGCCACTGGGAGACCTGCAAGGCATTAAGAGAGCAAACAAAATTACCTTTAGATCTTACAATAAGAATTAACGATTGAGAGGGGAGAGCTGGGCAGAGCGGTAGCTGCAAGGGTTCTGTCTCAAGTGTTTCCCATTTGATCTGCATTAACACCTTAGGAATGAGTGAAAGCCATAAAACAGTGATTATGGATGGGGAAGGCTGACCCTCCCTTTCAGCATTAAACTTACTCACATGTATGAGGCTGCTTTCACCGGGAGAGAGATGCTGGAAGTTAACAGGAAAATAAGTGGCTTGTGGGTAGTGGGTAGGGGAAGCCCGGCTAAAGGGAAGAGCCCGCAGAACGGTCACTATTTCAACAACCAACACCCTGACTTCTAGAGTCTCTGCTGCTCTTCAGGTGCTTCTGGATCTGCAGCATGACCTCTAATAATGATCCAGAACACAGTGATTGCCTAATCACTTTATCTAAGCATAAAACGATCCCCCGAGTATGTGTCATGGATAATGGAAACAGTTAAAGAATGTCTGGGGGAAACGGTCTAAAAATAGCTTATGTAGAAGTTAAGTCTGAACTGTCATTTTACCAGCTGCAAAGAAGAGAGAGTGACAGAAAGAAAATGGTAGCTTTCTCAAGAGTTACCTAAGCAC